GGAATAAAATTCACAAAGTATGGCACTATTCAGGGGACTGATTTGTCTTCTACAGAAAGAACCAGGCTGCTTTTGTCAAAATGTCACGTTGCCAGGATGGTAAATAAAGACTAGCTCCCATACTGACTGTAGCCAGTTAGTAAGGACTACTTGGAACAGCATGCTGAATGTAAGACTGACCATGGAGATGTCTGTCATGGTAAAGAACAGGAAATGTGGATGTCTGCATGCTGGGTACTCACTGTTCCTATACTCATGGCTTTCATGAGGTACAAGGTCTCTGACAAGTCCCTGGTTGTCAACAGACAACTGATGATAGAAAAAACACATTATGATATGATGTTGCATATTCTCTTAGAACCAACGACTTCCTAAATTATTACTTTGTAAGTTGCTGCAAATTATTCATGGTATATGAGCATCACAATAAAAGTTCTCTATGCCAGTCTATAATGAAAAAACAAATCCAGTCTCTTTTGGAAGTAAAGGGAAGGAGATTTGGTAAATACCCCAAAGTATCAGGCCCTGGGGACCAAGGTCAAAGACTGTCAGCTGCTTGCTGCCATGGTTCTAGATGTAAAAGAGTGGGAACACTGTCATTATATATAATCAATCCAATATGGATCAGGTGTTGAACATGCTAGAATCCAGAACATTTATGAGGTGAATTTTGAGGACGGTGATGCTAGAAGTTGTAGGAGCAGGGTTTAATTGCTACAGAGTTACTTAATTGTTCCCAGCAGTGGATCATGTCTGTCACAGGTCAACTTGCCCACTGGTTAGTGAATAGAAAACAACTGCTCAATTTAAAAACACACACACTCTCTCTCACTCTCTCTCTCTCTCTCTCTCTCTCTCTCTCTCTCTCTCTCTCTCTCTCTCCCTCTCTCTCTCTCTCTCTCTCTCTCTCTCTTCAGGAGGCATGGTTCCCTCATGATTGAGTGCCTCATCCAAGCTCTACCAGCTTACCCCTTATACCTTTGAGCCCTAACACCTATAAGTTGTATGCAGATTGTCAACTTATGGAAATTCCTGCTTCCCTATGTAGGAATACAGGGCCACTTACTGTTCACATGTTCTGAGTGTGTGTTTAATGTGATGTGAAAGCAACCAGCCAGGAAACTTCAAGGGAGAATGCCAAGTTTCAGAAACCTAGAGAAGAGCACCAAAGAACACCTACCCTTACTCCCTTTGTATACTGAGAGCATTAAATATCACCAACCACCCTAAACCATTTCCCTTCCAGGAAAAGATCCAGACGGAGATGCTGAGCAGAAGCAGGTAACTGAGGGAGGAGTGGAACAGGGAGGAGCTGCAATGGGAGAAGGGTGGCAGGGTCTGCAGAGGCATTTGTGATTGTCCCCATTCCCCAAATGACTATCGTTCAAAACAGCTTTATATGCTCAAATGTTCTCCCAGGGTGCCTAATCCAGCTCTCCTCTGCCACATTGCAAATACAGAAACACCAGGTATGAGTCAGCAATTCCCAATGCAATCAACTCGACTGGATCTTATAATCACACCCCCCACACACAATGCATCCTGCCATACTTCACGGGAAACAAGACAATGAGCACCATTAGGTCTTAATGCACATCAGCACAGGAGGTGAGAATTAAATCCACTAACTATTCACTGAGCACCTTTACGCGAGGATTGGAAATGAGCACACGAAAGGGTGTGTCATCCAATGGGGAGGATGGCTGTGTCACTGGGCAGCTATGTTACAGACGTATGCACAGCATCAGGGCAGAATGAGCGGAGGAAGGAATTAACTGTCTATGTGAAGTCTGGGAGGGTTTCATGGAAGTTACTATGCCTAGGGCTGAATTTTGAAGGATGGACATCAGTTTGCCAATAGGCAAGTGAGCACAAGCAGGAGGAGCCTTGGGGAGAGGTCACAGCTGGCACAGGTGACTCAGCCTGCTGAGCTCAGTTCAGTCTTGTTGAAGCATAAAGTTGGCCAAGAGAGAGAAGGGGAGGCAAAGAAGGCTGAAGTGGTCAGCCAAGGCCAGTGCAGGGGCTTCTGAGCCAACAGAGGGCCCATAATGACACTTTCATATGGGCTTATGGCTAGGTTTTTTTTTGTGAGCTCCTGCTAATGAGTCTTCCTTTGCAGTAGGGCACATGGTGACAGAAGAGGTTCTGAACCATTTGGTAGGCTGAGTGCTGATGGCAGAGCTTAGAGAAGGGAAGCCTGAGGCCACCTGGAAAGGGACACCCGTATTGAAGAGTCACCACATAGAAAAGAGTCTGCTTAGTTTGCTGCTGGTTAGAGAACTCAGGGCACAAGGTCTGGAGATCCAAGTGGGGGCTTTGCAATTTAAAGAAGGGTGACCAAACAATTAAGAGGGTCACTTGTTTCATTTGGCTTCTGCACCTTGTCACAGTGCCCTGTCTTCTTACTCCTCTGTCCCTCTACAAGCCACAAGTCTGAAATTAGGCCAGTGTTGAAAACAACCGAGTCCAGGACCTCCTTGGGAAGTGTGTGACTGAATTATAGGAAGTACAGCAAGAAGCACAGAGAATTCCATGATGAAATTCTTTCCCAAACAAGCCCAAAGCAATGACTAAAAAGCAATGTAACCACATAAATACATGTATGTGTACATTAATATCAAGCCAGGTCATGTGAAGAGACTGATTCTACCTGACAGTTAGTGAAATGCTGTGTTATTCAAATGGCACTCAACATTGAATACTTTGATGATCATTGGGAATATTTTTTTTAATCACCTGGCTGTTGACCTTGTGGCTCCGTCATAAGAAGGAAAACTCAACCAAAAAATTAAAACCAATCCATTCCCCAACAAAAAAACAACCCCCCTATTTGAACAAATCGTTTAGTGTAAAAATAAACAGAACTAGAAATTGTCTCTAATAAACTAATATTAGTCTCCCCAGAGGGTTAATTATGTCGCTCCGTTTTTTAAGAAGAATGTAAATTGCTAGTTTCAACAGATGTTCTTTTAAAAGAATTGGTTATCTGGGAAATGATGGGTCTTTGTTAGAGCTTACCCCAGTGGAATATAAACATTAAAATCATCTGACTATCTGTCAGCCCCTCTTCTCCCAACTGTTACCCACACCAAAGATCCACCCTTTGGTTATTAGCAGCTTCTGTGACAAGTGTTCCAGCTCTAACTGTGCTCCCAGATTTCCGAGAACACTTTGGAAGGATTGCTGAACCTCACCTTGGACCATCCAAATGACACAGAATAGTTTCTTCCCATCATTCCAATCCTAAACTCCAGCAACTCAGCCATGGTCATTCCCATCCCATTTTACCCTGGAGAGGGAGACTATGATATCACAAAGAACAGTCAGAACTTTCTGGAAATATAAGTCTTGTCTAAATTCAATTTAAATGCTCAAACATGTAAAACATGTTACACACACACACACACACACACACACCCTATGAACCCACCTCAGGGAAGAATTAAAATTTAAGTCTCATCGGAGTAGTGCATAGAAGCAGAGAGAGAAAGACAGAGATCATGAACGTCCCTATCATTTTCTCTCAAGTGGCATTTTGTAGAAACTGAAATGTATGTTAGCAGGTTCCACTTGGATATTTGGCCAAGAAAAGAGAGAAAAAAATCCTTCATGTGTCAGTTCATTACTCCAAGCAGGACGAACTCAGCTGACCGGGGGTATGGCGGGAACATATGTTCCTGTGTTGCAGCAGGCAGTGGGTGTCTGGCTGCCAACCTCACTTGACCTAACTCTTCATTATCATCCTGGTTAGACTCACTTTGCAGATAGGGAAACTGAGGCTGAGGGAGATTAATGACTCCCACAGAAAACATAACAGAATCTGCTTCAACTATTGATCTACTAGTAACAAGCATAAAATCTCATCTCAGCCAGAGAGGTAAGCAGATAACTATTGATCTCCTGAACCATTTTTGAAGGGGCCTGTTCACTACAGAATTTAGACACTCTGGAGAGACTGGGCAGGAGGGGACAAGACAGCCTAGTGCCATCATCTAAGGATAGGTCCTAAGTGGCCTTAAGACCAAAGAAAAGTGGTCTTAAGACATGGCTTACCTGAGGCCAACTCCGCAAGCAAATTGACAAAGGTGCTTCATGCTCACTTAAATAATAATAACACCCCTCTACTCTACCATGGAGCCACTATCACGCTCATGCGATAGGGATGGAAACTAAGACTCACAGCCAAAATCAACTGCCCAGGGTCATGTAGATCCTAAGTGGCCCACAGGAACATCCTAGGTCTGCCTGCAGACCCTGCCTCTCCACTACATCCCATATCTCAGATGACATCTGATGGGCACAGAATCCCAGCTTCCCCCTCCACAGCAGCTCCAAAGGCCCTGAGGGCCCAGGTGCCAGGTGAGGCCAGCAAGGGATCAGTGTGATCAGGTGTCCTGATGCAGAGCCAGCTGGGAAGTCAGAAGCCTTGTGTTCTCAGGGGAAAAACTCAGGAAAAACATAGTCTTTGTCCTCCTGGGACTGAAAAAAGGGACCCAAAAGTTTAAACACGATACCACTCCAGGACAAGCCCTTTATTTGGACTGGAGTATGAACTGTGCCACTGAGAACTGAGCTATACCAAACCTCAGAGCGAACTTTGACCACCCCACAAGCAATCCTGAGATTCACCTTGAGACTCACTGCTGAGACCATGGCAACTTCAAGGGTACTCAGATGAAGAGCTTCCTCCCAACAAAGGCCTGATCCTTTCATCCCCAGCCAAACAGAGCAGGAAACATTAACATCCCTTAAAAGCACACTCCACTCCCCAGTCCCTTGTGAAACCCACTTGCTCCACAGCTCAGAAAACAGCCTTGATCACAGCAAGCAACGCCTAAAAGAGAAAAGGCCCCATCTCTACCCACTCTAGCCATCCCATTTTGGATGATCTTTGGAACTCTTTAGGACCTTGGGGATATGGGACAGTGGTCCTACGGACAGAAACACTGCCTTTCTCCCTCAGGTCCAGACCCCTCAGCAGAAGTTGATTTGGTGACATAGGTTGTCTTAGTTCCAATTCTAGTGTGGGAGGAATAGAGGAAGGGCTCAGTACAATGAGGCAATGGCTATTGCTCTTTTCCTGCATGATGGAAGTAGTAAGCTGTGGCTACAGAGCACTGGTTCACAACCAAGGGCAATTTTGCCCTCCAGAGGGCATTTGACAGTCCCTGAAGAAATTTTTTATTATCTCTATTGCACCCATTATGTTGCCACTGGTATATCAGGTACAGGACAAGGGGTGCCGCTAAACACCTTACCATGCACATAACAGACACCCATCACTCTGAGTGCCATGGGGCAGTGCCAAGGTCAAGCAGCTGGACCTCGGGGAGTATCTGCAGTTAAGTCCTGAATGGAAATGGGTGAGACATGCCTTCAAGTCTTTCAAACTCCTGTGTGTAATTGTTCTGATGTTCGAACACCAGGCAGAGTCAGAACGTTAATCAGTGACTCCCTTTGAATGTGTGGGCCGGTCTTTAATAGATCTCATTAGTTTGTATTAGTAGATGGGATGCAGTGTGGGGGAAATAATTCCCAGAGGCTCAGCTCTGCTGATGCACCTGCTTTTTCAAGGAGAAAAAAAAAATCACCAAGCCTTTCCTTTAGTCACTCAGGAAAACCTAGCACCTGTCTATATCAACATGTTCGAGATGAGAAAAGAAAAACTGAAAAACAGAGATAAATTATTTATTCAGCATAAATATTAAAGAAAATTGCAAAACATAGTCTGGTGTCACCCTGTTGTTGTCACAGAATCATCTCACTATAGCTTCTGGCAAAATACTGTTGTCCTTAATATCAGTACAACAGAATCGTCTGGGATATACCAACCTGGGTACATGTGTCTGCTTGCTGTCGAGGACACTTAGCTGCATGCCGCCTGGCTCATCACACCCCCTCGGAAAACTGTGCAGGGACTCTGTTAGGAGTAGATCACAAACTTCATCCAAACTCAAGATGCAATGTAAACACCTTGGAGGTGTGCTGCAGTCAGGCTTGAATGGCTCAAGAGGGTCGACAGCTAAATTTTCAAAGATTTTATGAGCTGGTTGTCAGGCACACTCATTATTAAATATTAAGTTATGCAAACCTACAGTTAAATATGCTATAGGAAAGACAAAGGTAAGCAACACCCAAAACTCAGTACTTGCGGGTAAATTTAGTATGTATAACTATTATCTATGCTCTCAGTTACCTGCGTCCATTCTATCTGTATAGAGGAAATACCACACACCTCTTGGTGCCCAACCTCAAAGTTTTTCCAACTCTACAATCAGTGACCTTGTGTTAGCAGTTTGAAATCAGCTAGAGCATGAATATTTACACCACTGTAATCAACACACACATCCCTAATGTAAACATTTACAAGCACACTCCCACATCCTGCCATCAGGTATCTGGTAACAGCATTCACAAACGGATCTTTCTTTTAAACAAAACATCTATTATTCAAAGTTTAGCCAACTCTTTTCAGAAGCTACATGGACTCCTAGGTAACTAAGAAATTTACTAAATCTGTGCAATACTAATTAAACATTGCAAATAATTTATCTGCTGAAGCTTCCTGGCTGGCTCTTTATGCTTCATAGAAAGTGATCCATGCTAACATTTGGGATATGGTTAGCAAAGCAGTGAATGGAGGGTGGTGGTGGGAAGTAGGTTTGGTCTCTCATTAATGCATGAGGCCCCATGCTGGGGACAGGGACCCTTGGAAAATTGGTTGGACCACATCTGACTTTCATCTGAGCAGGCATCCGGACAGAGGTGCAGTCCTGAATCTGGAGCACAAATGCGCTCTTGTGAGCAGATGTCCTGCACACGGCAGACAATGCTCTGGCAACACAGAGCTGAACACATGCTCCCTGTGAGACAGGCTCCCCTCACCATGACTAAAAGAACACAGTATATATTAATTTAGGAGGTTGTTGAATACTGTTTGAAAAGAGGATTTATGAAGTAGAGAATCACATGGCAAGACAGAATGACTTTCCTACCTAATGGGAAGAAGACAGGGGTTCAGCTCCAGTGGAGTTTAGGGTAGAGGGTCTGGCAGATCCCGAACCCCCCCAGAGCGAACCTGAAAAGACTAGTCAGAGAGTCGGGTATGACCTATGGAGCAAGCTTGCTGCAAAATCAAAATTCACATCTGCCAAACAAAAGATTGTTTTTAATGAATGTGCAGTTGGATTAAAGTACTTGTCGCTGGAGGAGGTTATACACGTGGGGACAGAGTGTTTAGTAACTCTGTAAATCCTACTGAATTTTCCACTGAACTTAAAATTGTTCTAAAAGTACTTTGTTGACTTAAAAAAAAAAAAAAGGCACATCATCTCAAGTCCTGTGTTGAGCTGAATGCCAATATGGGAAGGACAGTGAACATTCCTCTATCACTTCTCCTGCCTCTGCTGTGTTTGTTGACCTCACAGCAGGGGGCCGGGGGAGGGGAGAAGAGAAGAGAGGGGATGTCTTACCAGGTACATGAGCTTTGTGGTGTCAGGAAACCCTAGAAAGCCAGCGGAAAGACATGCCCTTACCCGCCCCCACCCCAACCACCCCCATACACACATACCTTCTGCCATGATGAAGCTGTTAGAGAAATGGAGACAGAGGTTCTGTTCCTTCAAGTTCTCCTCCCTCCACCTAATCCATCTCTCAGAACCCTGACTGCACGACAGGTCTAGCAAGCACAATCACTTCTTCCAGACAGGACTTGGTCCACTCCCTATATTTCATTTTTGGGAAGAGAATGATCTATTGTACCTAGGGAAAGGAAGAAGGCCAACCTGCTTAGAGAAACCAACTGCTAAGGCCCCACATTCATGTGCCTTCCATGCACAAACACTATTGTTTTCCCTTTGATAATTATTAAATTTAATGTATAAACCCAACTTCTGCTTAAGAATGCGTGATTATTAGACTACAAGTCAATTGTGGATAACACGCAGATATAAATGCAGCTAATAAGTCTTACTGTAATGATTAATCAATTTATGAATACATTATTTAAACTAATAGCTCAGGTAGGGTATCTTAAACAAGTTACAGAGCACATCGACCAATTCAAGTACCAGCTGCCAGATCAATAGCAAACTGTAAGTAAACTCTGGGGAATATGTATACTTGCAAAAAAAAGAAAAAGAAAGAAAGAAAATCTGTGAACAAAACAAAAGGGCCTTAGATGAACAAAATCTGTAATAATTTCAATTTTTAAGACAAATGCATAGTGCTTTAATATATGCAAAAGCTTAAAGAGAAAGGTAAAAAGTCAAAGTACATTACTGTAAGTTTTGCTCCTTTTCCATTCTATGCAGAAGTAACAAAACACATATGTTTATATAAGCCATGGCACACATTTGCTCAAAGACTACATATTAAAGGTAATTTTGAATCCTTACAAAATGATACATCTGGTTCATTTCATTGTGAGATAGCATATGTATCCATTTATTTATAAATGTCCCTTTAACAAGAAAAAAAAAGTGTGCCTAAAAAGTGAAATTAGCAATGATCTGGAAGGGGCTCATCTTGCAATACATCTGGGCCACCCTCTCTGTTACAGCTTCACAGGTCCCTTTGCTGCTAACCACAAGGGCTTTCTGTAAGCAAAGCAAACCTTGCATCACAGCACTGTCCTTCCCATTTTTTTAAATTAAAGCTAATTAATGTGAGTTTAATAAATAAACCAAAAGGGCTCTGATTTCCAAAGGTGTGAAATTTTATCACAACTTCAAGTGATGCTACAGTTTAAAAAATTAATTAGTATCTTGTGAGACTGGCCACACATTATTGAGTACGTAACAGCAGCTAAGTGAAACAGATGAAATATTGGTAAGCCACGCAGCCACAGCATAAGTATGTGCAGGGGGTCAGAGGTTAATCCCTATTGATTTTCTGAGTCTGCGTACGGCACCGCTGGGAAAGGCCGGTTCTGTTGGCAATCAGCTAGCACAAATACATTATAAATCTTACTGTCCGCCTCCACTGATCAGTGTCACTTACTTCCTTTGCTAAAGACCATTAAGAAACTACCAAAAAAAAAAAAAATCCACCCAGATCCAAGTAGAAAGTCTTGTGGAAGACTGAGAAAGTCTTCCACATCAGACAAGGCTTCGGGAGACCAACTTGGCTGAACACAAGAACACATCTCCCTGGAAGTGGGTCTCTCTCGGGGAAGGAAAGGGGCATGCAGGCTCTTGAGGGTAAATCTATGTCAAAGAGTAAACACAGTCTTGTTCAAATGACCTTCAACACCAACCCAAAATGGCAAAAGTGCCTTTCGCGTCTCAGAACATGGAAAGATAAAGAGATGAAAAGGAAGAAGTCAAACATTCTTGCTGACATTGACAGGGGTGTCTCCAAGTTGATTTTGCAAAATGTGGCTAATGAAGAGGAAGCAGAAGAGCTCTTTGTGACCAGGAACCCTTCCAGAACTCCTTTCATACAGTGACCCCCAACATGCATAAGCTTCCATCCTTACAAACCTGAATCCTCACCTCAACAGAATTAAGGAAACAGCTATAAATGCCTGTCTCTTTTTTTTGTCTTTCCTTCTTTAAACAGATGTGCCTGACACTGCTTGCTAGACACAGGGAAACATGTATAAGATGAGTCCTTCCCAAGAAAAATGAAATATACATTTTCATTGTACCAGTAACCCAGATACGACACAGTCCTGGGATATTGTTTTGGTGCTGGTAAATGCTCTGCCATCTACCTAGCTCATACCGAATGCCTCTGAGCTTCAATCTCTTTACCCAGAAAAGGAGAATGAAAATTTTAACCACTGAGAAGAACTTAGCACAGGAGTAAATTTTCAATAAATGTTAACTAAGAAAATACTGTAAAGCTCTTCAACATCAGGAAAGACAACAAGTAAGTTTTCTCAGCCACGAAAGGAGGTTATGGAATTGTGACGTGCAAAGACAAGGAGCATCTGATCCAGCATTCCCTGTGACGAATGCATAAGATCCACCTGGTCAACTTGTTTCTCAGAACAGACATGTTCTGAGTTACTCTTTAGAAATAGATCTTTTTTAAGCCCTTGAAAAGTATAGAGAGGAAAAGATACCAGAAATGCAAATGTTGAGTGTCTCAACATGAACCAAAGGTAAGTGAGTTAAGAAGGTGTTGGGCAAGGAGGGGTCCCCTTCCTGCACAGAGATTGTGACCTTTTATTCTAAAGCCCCAACAAGATGAACAGAAAAGGTTCACAGACAGATGTTATGTTTGTGCAGTTTTCACACATGCAGCTGTCTTGCTACCTACACACACGCACGCACGCACGCACACACACGTACTCTGCCCTGAGAAAAGTTCTCGACATAGTTCTGGTGAATATGGCCACAGTGCTACAGTCTTTAGAATTCCATCAACTACACTCAATGCACTCACATGCTGATATCAGAGTACAGTTAAAAAATGTTTTAAAGACCTTTCAATTCAGGGTTGGCAGCTGCAAACAGGTCTCCCAGGGTTAATGATAAACAAAGGCACATCCAGCAATGTTCCTGTCAAACGCTCAGGCTGTATGCCATGACTCTGTTTTAATCATTGACTCCTTTTATTTTTCCTTACAAAACTTTTTATTTCAGAATTTTCAATTCTGTTGAAAGGATGTGATTTTAGTAGAAAAGAATAAACAGCTTAAGATCCCAACTGACCAGTGAAAACCAATATAGGCAAAGGCCACAGACTCTATTTAAAATCCTAAAATCTTTGGGCTGCTGTTAATTGCACACTTTCTTTTCATCATTTTAGGGTACACATCAACAGATATCTATTTATTTATTTACAAATGAATTTGGATCATTCTGTTAGCTACTATCTCCAGGCATGGTCTATGGTTGAGTAATCAGATTTAAAAATAATTCACACACTTTCTAATCACTTTGATAATTCAGATTTGTTTTGTGATTGACTTCCTGTAACACCTAATCAAATTGCCATTGCATATACTTTGTACCAGATGAAAGGCACATATTAGGAGCAGCTGAATTACCTACCCGGCCCTGTTCTTACTGCTTGCCGAGTTTGTATTCTAAGTACTATCTCATATGCTGCTCTCTGCAAAAATATTCCTGAGTCTTCCATTCATTTTCTGAGGGTTCCTCTAGTTGAAACCAGGTAGTCTAATGTTTCAACACATTTAACTGACAAACAGACAATACTGCTATGCGTTTTCAGAAGCTGAACTCCACAGGGACCAGAGAAAGGATGGAGGGCCAACCATGGACACTCTCTGCCTGGGGAAACATCCAGCCTAAGTTCAGAATGTCTTGCCTATCACATACAACTCCCTACCATCAAGGACTACAAAGGGCCCCCATGTCAACACACCTGTGAAATATTTATGCAGAATAGCATATGTTATCCAGCCAGTGAGAATGGAGGATCCTGGAGCAGGACAACCTGATTTGGAATCCCAACTCTGCGGTCTCCTTGCTCAGTTTTCTCCTGTACAATAATAGTACTATCCAATAGGCTATTTGCAAGGATGATATGTGTAAATACAGACACAGCACTTACAGGAATACTCACCACCTGATGAGTGTTTTGAGGTATTGAATAATGAATCAAAGAATTTAATGAATAAACAAAAGTTGTGATATTTTCTTTTGGAACTCCAGCATATTTCTCTACACTTTGGAGACTTTTGTTTTAGAGAAAAGCTGGTCCGTGACGCATTCTGCTGTTTAAAATGCTCTATTTCCTCATGGATTATCCAAGATGGTAGCCACTAGTCACATGTAGCTATTGAACACTTGCAATGTGGCTAGTGTGTCTGAGAAATGGAATTTTTAATTTTAACTAACTTACACTGACATAGTTGCATGTGATTCACAGCTTCCATATTAGACAGGGAAGCTCCAGAAGGCTCACTGTTTCTGATACCTCACAGAACTGAGCTCAATTCTAGCCCATCCATTGGCCTAACAAAGGTATGGAAGCATAGGTGAGAGCAGGCCAGCCTGATTATCACCCTTAGTCTCCCACTTCTCTTGCTGTTTAGATGTTTCATTACCATTGTCATAGGAGACAGCAGCGAACAAGGTGACACTATTGGATCAGCATCACTGGAGGCCTCTAATTTATACCAAGCTCAACTTGGCTTTCATTTCTGGTTTGTGTCTTGAATCATTGTTAAGGGAACTCTGTGAATCCTGCCTCTGACCATTGTCTACCCTCCCAGGCCAGATTCTACCTTGTTAATTGATTTCCTGGCCCTTCACCCTAACTTGCAGATGACTGCCCATCTTCTGCAGATAGATCTGCTTGTCAATCCTTCCCATGACACTGGACGCACCATTCTCTGGAGGCAACCAGACCAACACCAGTCTATTCTAGGGAATGAGATGTGACTTATTTCCATTTCTATTGTGTAAAGCATCTTCTTTTACATCATCATCCCAAAGAGACTTTATTCTAAAACTATCACCATTATCAAACTCATCATCAGGTTTTTTGCCTCCAATAATATTACACTGTAAACTACAAAACCCAAGTAAAAGTCACAGGCTTAAAACTTTTTCCAGCATTATAATGAAAAACTTCTCTAAGTCCAACCTTCTCCAAGGCTGACTTAGGTCTTTGTTTCTTCCTGTTAAAATTATTGGTTTAAGATTTTAGCTCCTTCCTCCTCATAATGCCAGAAAGCAATGACTGAACCAAATTCACACCTACATACTTACTGTCTGAAGTAGTAACTGACACACACTAGGCACTCAATGTGTATTGGATGGATGGATGGAAAGACGGATGGGTAAGTGGGTGGGTGTATACATGCATGCATGGAGGTCTGGGTAAGTGGATGGATGGATACATGGATGGAGGGATGGAAGTAACAAGCTAAGGAGTGCTAAAATTATTCCAAATAGAGATAAAAGGAACAATGAAAATATTTCCCTGCTTACCAAAATGATTTTTTCTTTTCAAATATGTCTACATTATGGAAAACAGAGTACTGCCAATACCTACTTATATTTTTGTAAGGTTGGATATCCAAGCCAGTGATCCCTCCAGTTAAGGAAATATGCCCCGCTGATGATAACAGGCTAGTGATGTCTACAAAATGACAAAATGAAAGGAGTAAAGGGGCCATGATATAAACATCAACACCAAATTCAATACTGGGAATAAGTTAATGACATTACATTAGTGATTCCATTTACTCAGAGAGGGAAAAGTAAAAAAGAAAAGGAAAAAAAAGAAACCCCCCCCGCAAAAAAAAAAAAAACCATACCCACTGGAAGCACCTGTCTAGTTGGAACTGTGAGACTGCTGAGCATGTACTGTATCCATATTCATAGGCACAGCAGGAAATTAAGCACCTTTGAAACCAGCATTAAAACTCTCCTGCCAGCGGATGCAATGAGCCAGTAATTCAACAGCCCCCTTGTGGCTCAGAAGAATTAATGCAGCTTCCAAAGGTGGGAAGGCTCTTCTTGGGGTGGCAATAGACAAGGAAGGTGAGCACTTAGCCTCATAAGAAGAAGGGAGTGTTGCCAGGCCATTTGTCCAAGTGTTAGATGAGGCCCTGCTTTGTGGAAGGAATGCAATGCATCATTATTATCACTTTTTCTTTCTGAAGACTGAAAAGGAACCCTGGTGTGGTGGGTACACCCATGCAACCTAACATGTGCTTAAAGAGAAAAAAAAAAAAAACAGAGCAAATGAGCTCAGTATTTCCATTTAAAAATATCATTTAAGGGAATTTTAAGCTGTCTGAGAAGATGGATACACTGTGTTTGTTTTCCACATTAATGAGCTATAAAAAGAATGGAATAGGCCATAAATACAGTATTTTGTAACAGCCTTTACTAAAAATGCTACTTGTGTTTATCATTTATATCCTTGTATACAACCTCAAAATTGATTACACTTTAAACCGTACATAACTTGCTGTGTTTTTCATTTTGTGCTACACTACAAACATTTTTATAACTCAGTTAATATATTCCATATTTTGTGTTCTTATTGATTATGAATATTTCTTTAGGGGATTTTATTGCCCTTAAAATAACAAATGTTAGGTATTAAAAAATAGAAAAACCTATTGCAGTCTTTATATTTTTCTTTCCCTTGGCAATTCTAATACATACATTTTAGCACAAACATAACCAGAATATCTTTTTCCATATCTTTTATACTTCCTCACACTAATATTAAAAATCTCCTAATATAGTGCATAATAAAAGCATCAGATTTTTTCCAATGAAACCCGCCATTTAATGTGTTTGACTTGAACTCATAATCCTTTCCTTCCACAATTAAAAAAATTTAAGTGTCAAAAGATTATCACATGTAACATGATGGTTTTACATCAAGTATATGTTATCTTTCCTAATTGCCTTTTCAGTTTATAGACTAAAATATGATTTATACATATGATATGATTTCACTATTAATTATCAAATTGAAAGAAAATAAAATCTCACATTATAAATTCTCTCCTGGAAATTAGTTTTATTATTTTTTCCATAATCCTATCACACAAGTTATAAGTGCATTGCAGCATGAACACTTTCATTTTTCCAGTTAGTTTTAAGCAAGCCCAGAGGTGAGGTTTAATAAGGATCAATGGTACTTTATCTGGGACAGGGCCTCTTCACAGCATGCAAATTACACAGTAACACTTAAAAAAAAGGAATAGATTTAATTAAAAAAAAGTAGAACCACAGGCTCTGGAAATTCAATTAAAGGATTTATGCAAAGGTTTGCTAGGTTTTTATATGCAGTTACTGCTTACATAATGAGCTTTTCATATTAAAAATCAATAGGTAATCTAGACTAGAAGATCATCCCCTTAAATACATTTTTGAAATCAATTTGAAAAATAGTCCATCAACTACTGTGACTACTCTTGCTGCTTCGATTACACTAAAAGCAATATTTAGACTGTGAGACGTGCTATGGAATATGTATGCATGGATATTGCTTTCGAGGGCTCTTCTACTTTGGAGTGCCTAAGATGATCGTCTAGTAATTCAAGATTGTGTTAAATGTATAAATAATTTATTTAATTACCTGCAAATGCCCACAGTCACAACTCCACTGTATTTATAATGGTTAAAAGGAGGAAAGCACTGAAGAAGGAAGGAAGGGAGAGAGTGGAAGAAAGATAGTGGGGAGAAAAAAAGGAAAGAAGAGGTAAGAAAGAAAAGGAAGGAAGAAAAACAAGGGAGGTAGGGAGGAGGGATGACACAGAGGGCGATGGGGAGAGGAAGAGAGAGAGAGAGAGAGAGAGAGAGAGAGAGAGAGAGAGAGAGAGGGAGCCCTTTCTAAATTAGTCTTTGCTACCTCAATTGCCTATTGTGTGTTGGCTACTTAGCTCTTGGAGATACGCATTTCGCTTTAAAACTCATTTAAGTCTTCAACAGAGGAAGCAATTAGCTACCTTATAACTTAAGCAGACTTTCCATCCTCTGCGATAATGAGGACAGATCTTAAATAAACAGGAAAGCCGATTGTCCAATTATGTCCTGTACGTCCATCACCAGTTTTGTGGCCAAACTTTGTCTAGGTTTGGTGTTCCCAGGGTCCATTCTGTCATCTTACAGAGAGTATCTCTGGAGAAGTAAAGGAAAGAATGTGTCAGGTAAATCCAAATCCCAACTCCACTCATTTCATAATAAATTCTTGAGATCCATTCTTCGTTACCTCTTTCCATCAAGATGCAAGTCGTGGCTCAAGTTGTCTTCAACAAAGTTAGCCTTTATAAAGCAGCCCTAAATTTTATAAGGAATGATTTACAGTCAAGCAACACCTTAATCTTTCCTACAAAACCCTGGGAAGAAATAAGCAAAATAGTGACAAACTCAAATTTATCCACTACCAAATGATCCTACCTCAACAACAACAATATCTGAAGAAGGTGCCATTACAACCAACTTGGAGATAACAAAGGAGGGCCCAAAGAGTCCAGAGGGTGGGTCCTGCTCTCACTTCACAGGCAGCAGAAAATGGAGACCAGGAAGAAACAGCAGCAGCTTCGAATGCCGGAGCTATCGGAGGGGTCCACATAATGTAATTTCTAAAGCAGAACTGTGGCCTTATCCTGTTAATGAGGTACCCTTTGTTGCAGATGTGTCCGCAGCTGTACTGAAAGTGGCTTTAAGGGCCAAGTCACTGGCATTAGCTTTATCCATCAATTATATACTCAACAAGCATGGCTTAAACACCTGGGAGACGTCAGCACCGAGAGGTGCTAAGTTATCTACAGAAAGGAATCCAATAGTGTCAGCTAAAAGTTTCTGTGTATGTATGTATTTGCTTTTACATTTTGTACTTGTAAGAAAGAAAGAATAAATGAATAGATGAAGCCAGTCACAAAGCACCACATAGTGCAGGGTTCCAATCATGAGAAATGTCCAGACTGCAAATCCACAGAGAAAGAGTGAAAAGACATGGTTAGGTGACCAAAGCCTAGGAAGGAAGGAGGGTAGAGGCTAGGGGATGACCACTATGGGATACAGACTTTCTTTTGGGGATAGTAAAATGTTCTAAAGTTGATTGTGGCAATGTTTTCCCAAGTTTGTGAATATACTAACAGCCGCTGAATTGTACACTTGAGGTGGATGAATTATATGGTATGTGAATTATATCTCAAAAAACCTGTCACAAAAAATAAGATGCAGTTTGTGCACTATAGTTTGAATAGTGGTAGCTTTGAGGAATAGCAAATAAAGAAAATCTGAAAAAGAACGAGGTTGAGAAAGAAAAAAAAATTCTTCTTTCCCACCAAAACCAACCATAAAAAATTAACCTCTCTCTCTCTCTCTCTTTCTCTCTCCAAAATATCTTCAGTGATGATGATCAGTTTAGAGAATGCATGGAGATAAAATGTGCAAACATAATGTATTGGCTTCCTATAGAAAGATGCTAAAATCAAAATAGCATAGAATTGAATCTATTGAATGCAGGGAGAGCTTCAGCATAAAATGTCCCAGGTTAGTATGATCAAAATGTCAAATATGAAACTGTTTTATAACAATGTGAGAGGTGTTAGTAATGGAAGTTTGAACAATGTTAACACTTAAAATTTCAGCAGAACCATTTCCATCCATAAATGTATAAAAGTCATTTTACAGTGTGCTTAACAGTCAAGACCAAGAGCAGTTATAAAAGAAGATGTCCTCAATGTCACTTCATCTTCTTTTATTCTTATTATCACATTTAAATCTCTCTGCAAAAGTGGTCTTGATAGGTAACTTTATTACACATTTTGAGACTATTCATTCTGAACCGAACTTCCCCCAAGGAATTAACAGATAAAGAGGGACCACTTTCCCCCATCGTCCCTAAATTAATACTGTAACTGTGAAGCAGAAGAATGGTGGTGTGCATGTTATGAGGACTTGGCTGGCATGCTACACCAAGTGAAGACTCAATATTCTTAGAGGTGACTCTTTTTGGGCCTGCAGAGGACCACTCAGTGTTTGTACTGTTCACCCTGCAAAGACCTGGGAATAAAGAGCAGTCCAAACAGAGAGTCAAGGTTGGGACTTGTTGAAGAGAAAGAATTTTTTTAATGGCCATGAGAGCTATAATAACATTACAAGCATGGTTTCAAACTTCCCAAATATCACTGGTCCAGGAAGGAGATAGACCAGTAATCCCACTGTGATTTGGGATTCATTCTGATGATGCTCTCTCATTTGACAATGAAATGACACAGTTTTCCCAGTGTAGCAAAGTTTGATGGCACACATTCCAAATTCTGTGTGTTTTACAGAACAGCAAGATAAATTTGTTCCTATTGACAGAAAATTATATTTTAAACTTTCTGAATTTCTTCATTTGGAAACAATTATCAAGGCCCCAAAGTTTTGTTATTTAAAAACGAGCAAAGGCTTGCAGAACTGATAGCTTTGGAATGTGCAGTACTGGATATCCTTGGCTTATGAGATACGAGGTTGACCATACTCCCTCTGGCCCTGCTCCATAATTTCACTGTTAATGCAATGGGTTAGATGAACACAGTGTGCAGCCAACCCTTTCTGTTTGCACTTCTCTGTGGCTGGGGTCTTATTTTGAAATACAGACAGGAATGGATATTTGCAGTGTTACTTTTCCTTCTTTCAATCTTTTTTTGATGGTTTTAAAACAGCTATTATTTTATTTTTTAATTATTGTTGTACTGAGGATACAATATGACATTTATAAAAGTTCTCACAATATATCATAGTTAAATTCATTCCCTTCATCATTCTCCTTTTTTTTCTTTTCTTTTTTGGTGCTGGGATCAAACCCAGGGCCTCAAGCATGCTAGGCAAGCCACTGTACCACCGGGCTACATCCCAGCCCATCAGGATGAATTTTTTTTTTTTTTTGGTGGTACTCATTTGAACTCAGGACTCTTGCTTGCTAGGCAGGCCCTCTACCAATTGAGCCATGCCCCCAGCCCTATCATTCTCCTTTATTCCCCCTGCCCCCAACAGGTCTCATCTTTCCATTTACATACATGGGTATACAATATTTGCACCATATTCACCTACCTATACCCTCTCCTCACAATCTCCCCACTCCCACTGTTACCATCCCCCCTCCCCCAGGATCTGTTCTGTCTAAGAGTAGCTATACAGGGATTTTCCTTGTGACATTCCATGTATATATGTATTACAACCCAAATTGGTTCATCACCTCCAATTTTCTCCTTTCCACCTTAATCCCCTTCTTATGGTGATTTCTTCTCTGACCACCATAAGCAGAGGCTCCTAAAAAAAAAATGTGCACAAATCAGCATTATAGTCCCTAATTGGAATAGTCAAAGGAGTGGCTTTCCTGAGTAAAGTGAAAAGTTTGAATTATGTAATATTTCTAAAGAAGTTATCTTGCAATATTTGAAGTATCTGAAGAATCAAAAACAGAAAACTGTTATCTAGGATAGTTTTAATGAACAGGAAAACACACATTGGAAATTGATGCAGTAAAGTGCTTTAAAATCTTATTTAACATCTACTTGACAATGATATTAAAACTATTTCTTGACATAGAAAATTATTATTATCATTATGCTTATGATGAGGAAAATTAAAAGTGATAGAAACTCCAGCCTCACCCATGCCAAGTCATGTCCAAGGACTATTTATTTTTATCATCTAACCAATGTGGCCCAAATAAAGATTTTTAAATACCATGAGGCAATTACCACAATATAACTGTGCCTCACTACAAAGTAACACAGGAAAAGGAGCAATGATAAGAAAGGTAAGAACTTGAAATATCACTTCAGGGATTTCATGCATGATGAAGAGTTCTGAGATCATGACAGCACAAACCACCACAACAAAAGTGTGCTGGAGAGAAAAATGCAAATGGGAAGGAAAGTCTACCTATGTTACAATTGATAACTTTCCCCTTTGGAAGAAAAACTTAATGATTATTTGCAAACATCCAAACAAACGAGGTGAGGGATAATGGTTGCTTTCCCAAAAAACCTTCACCTCTGATAGTTCTTCAAGTGGGATCCAGAATCCACTTGAAGCTGTACTCCATGCTTCATCATCATGTTTATTACTGGTTCATGAATTGGCAGGAGGGAGAAAGAAGCAGATCTTGGAAGAAGAAGTATGGCTGACTGTCAAATGGATGCTGAGGCTGGACAGTAGTTGTACAACGTGAAGGCCATTCTCTGTGTTGTTCCTTTGACTTTTGCCTCTTGTTTGTTGGGTCATGGAAGCAAGATTACAGCAGCTGGAGGCATCAAATCTCATTCAGAGTAGCAAGTAAGGGGAAACAAAACCACTAGCAACACCTTGTCTTTTCTGCAAGAAAGCAAAAGTTGTCCAAGAAAATCTGCTATTGATTTCTGCTTTTATTTGTTGACTGGCACCTGCCACATGGTTATCCCAATGTGGCAGGTAGGGTATGAAGTAGTATCTTTTCTGGCCTATATAGCAGAAGGTAGGCAGAGGCACACAGCATACTGGACAACCACAGCAATCCTGCATCCCCACAAGCCTGAAGTCATGGAGGGCAGAAAGTTGGTTCATTATCTCTAGCTATTCAGAGTCAAACACAAGAAAGATTTGGGAAAAAAAAGATAACCTGAGAATCCAAAGTAATTTCAAACAATCAGCCAGGGCGAAGATTGGCCATGCCCCAATTCCTCCTGGGCACATAAGTAGAATGTATTTCCTGGTCAATTGCAACTCTTAGATGTGCCACTCCCAGGCCTTGCCTTATAATACCTCCTCACAGGATGCCCCAGGTACTTGCCTCTTGCAATAGCTTAGTGCAGATAAGGAAGAAGGCAAGAGCAACAAGATGGAAAGAGCCTGGGTTCCTGAGTCACCACATGGAAGGGAACTGGCTTATACCCCAGAACAATTACTCTGGGTCTTGCAAAAGCAAGAAATAAACTCTGACCATGTTTGAGTCACTGTATATATGTGGACTTGTAAAAGCAGCCAGCATTACTTTTAATAATACGTCAATCTACAAGTTAAACATTGCAGAGTTCCTGAGACATTTTTATCCACTTACTATTGGCTCTAATCTCAGATTACACATGTTGGTTTGCTTTAGATCTGTTAAGCAAACAACCAAAGGAGCATCTACAGGTGTCACCCCACATCAGCTCAGGTGGGTCAGTGGTTCACCGCTCTAGAAGGACAGTTTCTTCGGGAAAACATGCCTGATGACACTTGTGTCCCCACCTGGCTGTCCATGGTATAAGCTGAGTCCACAGTCCTCACTGAGGAAGAGATGTGTTTGGCAGCCCTGCTGTGCTTTTAAGGTTTGGCTTCTCACATCTCTTACCTAGGCCTCTTTTATCAGAAAGTGCTTCTGCACACCCCTGATACACTTCCAGGGGAGGTCAAGCTTCAGACTGAATGGGTGATTCATAACCCCATCATCTTGCCGCATTGTGGAGCCTGCCATCTTAATTTCAGAGCCGTGGTTTCTTTTCTGCTCACTTCTTGTTTGCCGTCAGCCCTTCTCCCAGTGCTATTGTGGGGACACACGTTTTGTAGCTTAAGAGGTTGGTTTTTGTAAGTTACAGGGACCTATATTTTCCTTGTTCTCCAGCTGCTGGATGGAAAACAAACTGCAGAGGGGAATATCTTTACAGTGCAGTCCTTAAATACTTTACAGGAAGAAGAAATCTTGGTGGGTGGTTTGGAGACTCAATTACCCTTCTCAGGAGAAGGCATAAATATCCCCAAGGGTTTACATAACAAACACGTAGCGACTCGGTGTCACTTAAAACATCTGCCTCTAAAATCGACAGCTCAGTGCCATTTGGAATTTTGAGAAAGAGGAAGGCCAGCTCGTCCTGGCATCCATCAAGAGACACATCAACAGAGGCAAGCCAAGTCATGCAGAGCTATTAGGAGGAAGCCACCACAACAAAGAAAGGCTCTCTCAAACACTGTAGCAAGTGACAGGTAAAAAGCGAAGCCTTTTCAAATGTTAGGCACCTCAAAAGAAAGAACCAGGGCGGGTCTGCAGCAAAGCAAAGGACATGGCAGAGGGTTGTGCAAACCAGGACACGGATGGCTACTGCATCTTGTGCACCTCATTTGATTGGACCACAATTCCAGGAAGTAGATGAGGAAACTGAGCGTTAGACAGGCTCAGTAATCTGTGGTAGGTCAGCAGGCCTGGTGAGTATGTCACAGACAGCACTGGTAGCTGGGTTTGTTACATCCCAAACCCTGATTTTTCTCCCTACCGCAGTGCTTCCACTTATTATGAAGTTTCAAAAAGAGAAGGCTTAAAGTTTCTTTTATATTTTTCTTTTATTTTCTTCTTGTTCCTTAAGGTAGCAGGTCTCAGTCTAGTCCAGGCCAGTCTAGAACTGGTTACTGTTAGGCTCTAGTGACTCTCCCATCTCACTCTCCCACTTGAGCAACCGGGATTATAGCCTTGTGCTACTACACCCAGGTATGAAGTCTCAGGTTGAGAAGGCACATGAGACCGCCCCTCAAGGAACTGTGATTCCTGGGTTGGGAGGAAGCAAAGGATGGGTACAGAAACTCAGTTTAGCCTCTGCTGGGAGGTGGTCCTATGCAACATTACTGCTATTGTAATAACATGGGTTGAGGCGTGGAAGGAGGCAGCCAGTGTGACCAGCCAGTGGGCACCATTGTTGGAGCCTCAGAGTCGGCTTCTACTGTTTGGCTCTGCATGAAGTTTTATTTTATATAAAAAAGGCAGTGTTCCTAAGCCTAAGAAGCAGGTCAGCTCTCTAGAAAGGAGAAGCTTTACAGAAAACAGGCAGAAAGCCACAGATGATCCAGTATTAAAGGATCCTTGACACCCAGAGGCCAGGGACAACTGTCCCTGGG